TCAAGTCTGAGTTCCACGGGCTTTCCCAGGAGCTTTTCGGCCTGGCCAGCGAGGCTCGAAAAGGGGAGTAGGCTTGGAGGGGAGCAGTCCAGCTTGTGAGCAATTCTGGGGAACAAGGGGAAACCAGGGTTCCCCAGAGGGAAGGGCCGGAAGAGTGCAGCGGCCCTCCATGCTGAAGGTCTGTCTCCTTTCAGCTCAGCTGGGCTTTTCTGTTTCTTTTTTGTTGTTGTTAATCCTCACCCAAGGATATTTTTTCCATTGAATTTTTGGAGAGAGTGGAAGGGAGGGAGGACAGGGATAGAGAGAAACATCGATGTGAGAGAGACACATGGACTGGTTGCCTCCTGCAGCACCCCAACAGGGTCCAGGAATTGAACCTGCAACCCAGATATGTGCCCTTGACTGGGAATCGAACCTGCGACCCTTTGGTTTGAGAGCTGACACTTTAACCACTGAGCTACACCAGCATGGTCGGTTGGGCTTCTTTCACTTGCTGTGTCCTAGAGGACCCTGAGCCCTGGTGAAGGGCACGTTCCTCCGGCCACACCTGCTCTGCACCTACTGTGATGGTCATAAAATCCTGACTCTCCTCTTCCTTTGAAAACAAGTTTCAAATAAATTCACCCATCATTTGTCCTTCCTGTTTTTCATTGGAAAAAAATGAATGTTTAGAAAACATCTTTTTACTTTGAGGATTGACACACCTACCCACCATTCATCTACCTAGAATGCAGGGCTCTCTGTGCCAGGCAAGGTGCTGGGGAGGAGGAAACTGAAGTTGATTTCAGGATGTTTGAGTTAATGATCCATGCCAGGTGCTCCAGGGACTTGAGACTTGGGCCTCTTAACCTGCCTTTCTCACCCAGTACGCCAGGGATGTCGTCCACCTCCTCCTCTCCAACAGAGCGAACAGCAGCCTGCTGTGGGGCGGCCACTCCCCGCTCTCCCTGTCCATCGCCAGTGGGAACGACCTGGTGAGCACGTTCTGAACCCCTGAGGGACATCTGCAATGTTCTCTCCTCCAGCGTCCCCTCCCCATCAGTGTTTGGGCGTTGGTGGTGTTGGCAGTGGCACAAAGGCAGCATGGTGTAAGGGGCGTGGGCCACCTCCCGTGGGGATGGAGCTCTTTAGAGAGAGAAGGCTAACGAGAGAGCAAAGTGAGCAGGGAGGTGAGGTTCAGCTGGGTGGGTGCCCCCTCATGGGGCCTAGATCCCAGCTCTGCCTGTCCCAGACATCGACTCCTCGGTGCTCCGGGAAAGGCACATTGGCAAGTGCCCACTTCTGCTGCTGCCAAGGAATGTGTTTATTCACCATCCACCCAGCCAGCCAGCTAGCCACCCATCTACCTTCCTTCCATCCATCCTTCCATCCTTCCATCCACCCACCTTCCACACATTTATGTACTCATCTATGCACCCACACACCCAAATACACATCTATTCATCTACCCACCATCTATCCACCCATCTACCCACTCACCAACCCATCCTTTTACCCATTCATTCTACATCTATCATCAATCTTCCTTCCTTCCTTCCTTCCTTCCTTCCTTCCTTCCTTCCTTCCTTCCTTCCTTCCTTCCTTCCTCCCTCCCTCCCTCCCTCCCTCCCTCCCTTCCTTCATCAATCCATTATTCATTTAGAGCAACGTTCATCTTTTATAGCTTGTCAGCCATTTATTTGGCTGGGCGTAAGGGGGCAAGGCAAACACCCAGTTCAGGTCTCAGGTGTTGACTAACAGAAGGCTCAGCACTCAAGAAGTCAGTGTCTGATTGTTGTCAGACAAAGCAAAGACCAGTGAAGAAAATAATCAAGCAAAGGAGAGAGAGTAATGATAGGAAAGAAAAGAAGTATGAGCCAGGATAGCCTGACGGGAGTCTCCTACTTATAGAAGAATACCCCAGGAAGGGCCTTCTATTGGCTGGAGGGGACTTTGTTGCCCAGTGCCTTAAAAGAAGCGCATAGGATTTGTGCCACGAAGGAACCCCCTCCTCTCTCCTGCGTCCTCCCTTTCAAGAAG